TATGTCTTATTTATTCCTTAATTTGCCTAGTCATCCATACTAATATGTAGATGACGAGGTAGCGACAAAGACAAGGGAGACCGGCGTAAGCATTTCTGGTTTATCAGCCACCTTTAACCAACCTTATCCGACCCCGAATTTTCCGGCAACTGGAATTTGAACCCGTGTTCTTTTTGGTACTCAAGCGTTAGTAAGCCGAACCATCTGACCATTGAACCATTAACTTGTTCTGTCGGTCGTTATCGGGAATAGTAATTAAGGTATTGGAGCGTTTATCGATAACGTCGTGCCTTAGGGCTTTACTTAGAGCTCTGTCAGGTAGTCACATAACCACTAGTGGTGTATATGGAGGAAAACTTACCTTGGATCAACGATATATACTCGTTTGGTAAAACCGCATTCTCCTTACTCTATCTTCCTTTCTTCATCCGTATTTCTAATGTTGACAATTTAAAAATAGCTCTAAACCTCCGATTTTCTCTCCAGTTTCACCTAAGGTCCATTACTCAATCAGAAATCACCAGTGACTAAACTGGTCGTGCGTCAGATTATCAAGATTCTGCCAAGTGACCAGGCGCAAGGCGAATTCGGACCACTGAGTCCCTTTTGTTGCGTTTGACATAGTATTCTGACCATGCTATGTTCAAAAATATCTGTCGGAACCAAATAAACAAACATACTTCTGCCCGTAAAGCACCTCCACCTCAACAATTCGATCTTGCATTGTCTTTTAGGAAGAAACAAATCGTTCAGAACCCGGTATTCGCGCAGGATTTCGTGATATCACCATACATTCCCCTTTTCTAATCTGGGCAGACTGCGGCGTCGTCGTCGGCTACCGGTGTGATGGCAGATAAAGCCAACAATGTTGTGCTAGATTGTGGGAATGAATTTCTTGCCCACTTTGGTGGCAAGGCGTTCTCTTCATTTGATGTCTTCAACAAGGTGCTACAGGCCTTCGAGCAGGTAAGTCTAGTCGGCCCATGTTACCTTACCAAGTGCAAAATTCTAGGCTACGGGTACACGGTACCTAATGAAGCGATCCTGTCTATTTAATGAGGGTAGTTTGGGTCGCGAGTTCCTAGTGTATCGCT